TCACCAGTGTCAATGTGAAGTTGTCCCGTCCCCTAAAACATCGGTGAATAGTAGAAAGTTGTGTGCCGTGAACATTCTAAATGTCTGAAGTGGGAAGGGTGACCTTTATAAAGAAACCTTTTTTGTTTAAAAAAAGAAAAATACCATCCACAATAGTGTGGTAAAACAATAAGTACTCCTTAATGTATATATATTTTGTATGTCTCAATTTTTTTAATTGGAGGTTTTATAAGAAGATAAATTCTTCACTATCACTCACAATGGATTTCATGTTTATGCCATATTTATTTATTTATTTATTTATTTATTTATTTATTTATTTTTATGTTTTAGGTCCTCCTGGCCCTAGGGGTCCAAAAGGTGACAAAGGACAGCAGGGACCCCCTGGTCCCACTGGCAACAAGGGACAGAAAGGAGAGAAGGGGGAGCCCGGTCCACCCGGCCCCACCGGTGAGAGGGGCCCAATTGGGCTGGTCGGCCCCCCTGGAGAACGTGGCAGCAAAGGCTCCAAAGGCTCGCAGGGCCCCAAAGGCTCCCGCGGGTCCCCCGGGAAGCCTGGTCCTCAGGGACCCAGTGGGGACCCAGGCCCCCCAGGCCCACCAGGCAAAGATGGACTCCCTGGCCCCCAGGGCCCTCCCGGCTTCCAGGGACTGCAGGGCACTGTGGGGGAGCCCGGGGTGCCTGGACCGCGGGGCCTGCCGGGCTTGCCCGGAGTACCAGGCATGCCGGGCCCTAAGGGTCCCCCTGGCCCTCCAGGCCCATCTGGGGCAGCAGTGCCCCTGGCCCTGCAGAACGAGCCAACCACCGCACCTGAGGCCAATGGTAAGTCTGAGCCCTCCCTCCCTTGCTCCAGGGGACAGGAGCAGTGTATTTGCTTGTGCTGGGCCAGCCCCCGGGGTGCAGCCTCAAGCTCTCCCTTCATACTTGGCAATGGAGGCATCCTGTGGGGCAGGTAGAGGGCCCCTGCTACTCACGCTGGCACGTTTCTCTCTAAACATGATCAGGTTCCCTAGCCCTTGTTTATTTAGCTGAGTTGGGCCCTCAGGGATAAATGTGTCCCCAGACATTTCCTTCATGGAAGTCCAAGGCTGGCCACCCCCGACCTTTATGCACTTTATGCCCTTCACCTGGGGAGGTCATGCAGGTAGAACTTTCTGTTATGGAAGCCCAGATTTTATTTCTTTGGAGGGAGGTATCATGGTGACTTATAGTCCTTTCATAATTAAACCTTTGGTGAAACCCAAAATGTGTTTGCAACCAAGCCTAGTTTTTTTCTCCTCTAATTCCACTTGATTTCCTTCAGCACAGCTCGGGTCAGCTTTGCTTTCTGTGTGCCTGATTTGGTTCTGGGTTCTCCCATCTAGCTGTCTATAGATTCCACATGATTCCAGACTGACACTGAACATCTGTGCCTGTGCTGCCTTTTATTGTTGTTTCTGTTATTTCTGTCATTGTAAAGACTACTCCAGATGCAGAGGAACAAAGACCCAGTGCAGATATTTTCCAGATTATGTATTTTTAACTACTGTGTGCTCTGCAGTCCACTTCCCTGTACTTGTCTCGGCTCCCAGCATATCCGTGAATGTCAGTCACGGGCTCCTCGCATGGGTGCCGGGGCTGCGCCTGGCCTGCGAGGGAAGGAAGGGCTATAGCTGTGGCCTCTTCAACATGGCTGAAGAAAGGCATAGTGCCTTCCATGTTTTGTTTTGTTTTTACTTAGTGCTGTGAACCTTTGCATTCCTAGGCTGCCCGCCTCACTGGAAGAACTTCACAGACAAATGCTACTATTTTTCTGTTGAGAAAGAAATTTTTGAGGACGCGAAACTTTTTTGTGAACACAAGTCTTCACATCTCGTTTTCATAAACACAAAAGAGGAACAGGTATGTGTGCAGCATACTTAGAGTTGGGGAAAACTATAATTTAGGGATAGTTTACATCTGGAAATTGCATGCTTACTGGGGGGTCAGAGATACCAAGAATTCATGGTCACATAAACACAGAAGGCTGCATTATGGAGATTTGGGCTTTATCCAGTGACAAGAAGCATTCCTGGCATAGGAATTATGTCCGCTTGCTTCCACCTGGAAGATAGATCCCAAGGCTCTGTCAGGCCTTGGGATATGTGGCTCCTCCTGGTGGCTGATGAGAGAGCAGTCATGGAGAAGAGAAGCCTCCGGGCTGGCACTAGGCACCTGCAGGGAGAGGTGACATGAGTACCATAGGCTTAGAGTGGGGTGTAAGTGACCAGCCATGTGGCTTCAGCAGAGTCAGGAAGAGCAGAGAAGGCCGTGGAGGCAGAGCCCACATGTGATAACGACGGTGACCACTCCCTAGGACCTTACTTTTTGCCAAGCGCCATATGAGTCATTTTCTCCTTTAAGCCTCACAACAACCCTACAACCTATGGGTATTATTATCCCCATTTTACAAATAAAAAAAAGTGAGGCCCCGCAAGGTTTAAAAGATTTATTCACGGGATGGCAAGTAAATGCAGAGCTGAGGCTGAAAGTGAGGTCCAGCTAAACAACAATGCCAGTGCTCTTCCTTTGGTGCCGCGCTGTTCCACTGGCCTCCTTCCTGTTCCATAATTATCTCCAGCAAACACAATCCTGAAAACAGGTGCTTCCCATGGAGACTGACTGGGAATGAGCAATCACAGCCAGGTGCCTAGGCCTTAGACTATACGGAGCTGTGCCCAATCCCAGCTCAGCCACTTGCTATCTTTGTTACAAATGTTGTAAGGCTTACAGATGTTACAAATGCTGTGACACACTGGACACGGTGCCTAGCCCAGAGGAGGACTCAATAAGGCCATGGCTGTTACTATTATTAGGACATGGGAGGGATGCGTGTAGCGGGGGATGGAGCCTGGTGGAATTCATTGAGTGGCTTGGGTGATTTGGAGGAGGAAGAGCATCACTGAAATATCACTTGCAAGTTTGTAAGAGGAAAACATGTCCCAGCCCTCAAAACGGTGCAAAACAAGTATACTAAAAAAGGACAGCAAAAGCAGTGTACCTGTTGTGACAAACATCCTCTTTGTTCTGTTTTTTCTAAATGTTGTGGGGGAAGCCCCCCAGACATCTGTTCCAAGAAATACTAACGCACCGTTTCTGGTTTATTTTTCAGCAATGGATAAAAAAGCAGATGGTAGGGAGAGACAGCCACTGGATTGGCCTCACAGACGTGGAGCATGAAAGTGAATGGAAGTGGCTGGATGGGACGTCTCTAGAGTATAAGTGAGTACTCAGAAACTTCCAGATGGGTGGTCATACTCTCGCTGTTCTGTTTTTTACCCCTTGCCTGACTCCCTACAATTTCTTCTTTAATGACCTTATGTCCTAGATACTTCTCACACTGAGCTTCCTGGTACCGGTTGTCTGTTTCTATGCAGGGAAATTGTAATTGGGACTGTATATGCTGTAAAGTAGGGTTTTTCTTTCCATGGAGTTATTTTTTTAATTTCTGTGAAAAAAAAACCCCATCAGACTCATAAAACCACACAGTATGGTACTTGTGGCCGCAGCATTATCTTTAAATGCTACTCTGAAGGAGAAGGAAGCTTAGACTACCTCAGACACATTTAGATTTCACCCCAGCCATGTTTCCGACAAGGGGCCAGGGAGCTTCCTGAAGGATAACACCATCCATGCCCCTAACCCAGTTGGGCTTCTGGCCAGAGCATGATTGTGAACCACAAGTTTACGACTCTCCTACACACACGAAGTTCAAGTGTACCATCAACAGAGGCATTTGTGAGATAACCATCTCCTCAAGGCCTGAAGATTCCCTTGTGTGGTCCAGTGTGACCTGAGTTCTCTAAAGGCAGCAACAAGGAGTGGAATGGAAGCATGTGACAGTCCTTTCTCAGAGCTCCTAGAGGCACAGAGGTCTCCACAAGACGCCTCCTGCTCCAGGTCCCAGGTGTCCACCGTCCCTAATCCTACCCAAGGGTTTAAAGATAACTAACCTGTGCCACTTGAAATTTCACTTCTTCTTACTCCGACTTTGCCTCTAATGGATGTGAAAATATACAACCAACTGTAACAAATAGAGCAGAATTGATAAAAACCCACCTCTGAATCCCTTCCTTTGCTGGAGACGAAGAAGGCAGGCCCTGTGGAGGTGCAAGTAGGTGTGAGGGCGGCTAAGCTTCAGGAGCATGTCTGAGCATGTCCGGAACATGGAGACCACAGCATCCGTGGCACCCGGAGAGGAAAAAGTAAGTCTCAGATGGTGTCACAGCTTTGAGGCCAGATCCAGAGCAGTCAAGGAGCGGGAGTGGGTCAGAGGTGGTGGAGGGGGCCAGATAGAATTTTTTAAATGTTTCTGTGTGCGAGTATACAGGCACATGGGTTGACAAATTGGCTTCTCTGTACTTTTAAATCCTCCATGTGAAAAGCATGACTAGAGGATATAGATGGACCAGAATAAGGTCATTTCTTTAAAAGAGTGACCAAACGTCGAGGTAGAACATTTGAAGATTTTAGGTCTGCTGAAGGTGAGCTTCAGACTGGCCCCAGGGCAAATGGACATCTGCCTGCTGGCCTGACAGATGTCCTGTCTGTTCCCACTGCACCTGTCCTTGGGGAGAGGAAGCGACACCCCACCCTGGCCCTGGGGAATTTGTCTGTCAGCCAGAGGAGACACCCATAACAGCAGAGTTGTACTTCAGGAGACACAAGACAGTTGTGAGAGTCGGCATCTACAGTCGGAGCAGTGGAGGGCTGGCCATAGGGATGGGAGGCAGAGGTGATTAAAGGAAAAGATAAATCTGTGACTTTGACAGTCAAGAATGCCAAAATCTTTGTTTTAAGGGAGTCGGTGGGGAGCTTAAAAAAGAAATCAGTCACCTCTGCTTTTCTCAAAATGCAAAAAAAGGTCTGGGTTAGACTCACTAAGAAATTCAGTCATAAGCCTTCCTCCAAGAAAAAAATGGATTGGCCCATATGGAATGGATTGAGGAAAAACATTACTATCTATGCCAGCTCTCCCAAGGTGGAACTTTTCTCCTCTCCCCTGGGATGCAGCAAGAATTACAGGATTTGGAAGGATAGCACCAGTATTGGTTTCTGGGACCTGAGAAGGATTACATCACCAGACACCTTCCCGGGGACTCTGAGCCCAACCACAGCCACCCTGGCGCTTCCTGCGAGCTTTGGCTTCCATGCTCCAGCCGCACCATACACTGCGCTGCTCCTTTTCCACCCAAAGTAATACATATACATGTAAAAACCCCAGGATCCAATTTTAAAAGCAAGAATAAATTAGGCAGACATATTTGAGGCTTCAATAACTGAAGGCTAATATAACTTGACACAGAATAATAAACACTGCACAAACTAGAAAGAGAACCAGTGCAGCGAAAGGAGAGAGCACATGCTCAGGAGTCGATAGTCTGGGTTCCAGGCCTTGACCCAGCACTCGACAGCTGCATGACCTTGTGCAAGTTATTCAACCATGTAAAAGCTCCACATCCTCATCTAAAAATGAGTATTACAAAACGACCTATGTTGGTATTGTGAATGTTAAATGAGATTATACACACACACACACACACACACACACACACACACATACATACATACATACATAATACACCGGGGGTGCCAAAAAAATATATACACATTTTAAGAGATGGTCAACGTTGCTCAAGCAGTAGTTCACCATAATCAGAAGTGTCTGGAC